GTTTCTCCTCATAACACCAACCATAGCCATCCCCCTAGAAGCAGTATCTGTCACATCCACTGTGACTTGGTGGGAAGTTTTGGCCACCAATCTGCCCTCATCCACTAAAACCTAGAAGTGGGCCTCCTTGGGAGCTTGCCCTTAAATTCCAAAACTTATTATAATTACAGCAGAACCTCAAAGATATAAACACCAGAGTTACAGACTGACCGGTCAACCAGACACTATGTGAAACTGGAAGTAACCGATCAGGCAGCAGCAGAGATTAAAAAAAAAAAAAAAGCAAGTACTGTACCGTGCCTGTATTGCATCTTAAAAGGTAAGCACATCTGGGCTGCCTGATCCAACCCTACCTCCCCAACCCCATCCGAGGGGCGGGCGGGCAGGCGCGCGCACGCACGCGCACACACACGCGCACACACACATAGAGCGAGGAGTGAGACAAGCTTGCAAACTCATACCGGGGCTGACTAGATTGCTCAGCTGCTGCTGAATCCTGGGCTGGAGTGTCAGCTGCTGGATCTGGAGCCTGAAGTGCGCTTTGTTCAGAATTACAAACATTTCAAAGTTACGGACAACTTCCATTCCCGAGGTGTTCGTAACTCTGAGGTTCTACTGTAGTAATATCATATTTGACCAAGATGGCCTAATAATTTGAGATCCTGAACCAGAGAGAAATGGAAGAGAAGACCTTTCTCCCTAGAAAGCTGAGTGGCTTGTGTCCCTTATCAGAGGGAGTAGCCTTTGGGTGCTGTTGCTTGGACTGCTCTGCAGCCTCCTGCACTACTAAAGAGTTCGGCTGTGGGTGAAGGAAAAAAAAACACCTCTCCCCCCTTGGATGGAACAAAGTAACGCTTCTCGGCCCTCTGAGTGGTAGGGCCACAAGAAGCAGGAGTGTGCCAAACCATCTCTGCCGGTCCATGATGGCCTCGTTGGGGAGGGCCACTCAACTGGGACCAGAAAGCTGCAGAATGTCTTGTAAACGATGCTGAGGCTCCTGGACTTCCTCAAGCTGAATCTGTAGCTCTGCATGAGCTCTTGATACTGTTTCAAGTGGTCTGCTGGAGATGGAGTGGATGGAGTAACTGCTTCATCCAGTGAAGACGATGAGATTGCTCCCAGTACCATTGGACTCTGTGGATCTGGCTCACCTTCCCCTTCCGAATATTCCAATGGGACCAGTTCTGGGTGTCTGAGCGATAGCAAATAGGACTTCTACGCTGATCCTGGGTGTCTAGGGTAGGACTCCAATGCTCCCCAATATAGCCAGTAGGATGGATCAATTGGCAAAGGAGGACCCAATGTCATAGGGTACCACCATTCTCTTGATCAGTCATATCTGGTCAGAGGCCAGAACCACAATCTTCTGGAACTCCTAGTTTGTGCAACCTCTGCCCAATGCTGCAGAGACTCCTGTGGGGCCTCAGATTCATCCAAAGAGAAAGACTGATTCCTTGTATCTGTCAGAACTGAAAATACCAATGGGTGCACTTCAAGGCTGAATGGTGCGATGGGAGAACACGCTGCCTCATTGGGGTAGTCTCTTCCTTAGTATATGAATGTCCCGGAATAGGACAGTCCTGATAGGAAGGATGAATGCGGATAGGGAAGAGCAAACGTGTCCTCCAGAGAGATGTAGGTCTCTGATTGCCCTGGGGTATGAGGAGAGTCCATTGGCAGAGCCTTCAGAACTCAAGCTTCCCTGGCCACTAAGATGGTCAGCTCCCAATCACTACCGGTAGCATATCGGCTCTAGAAGTGGACGGGAGCACCGGGAGCTGTTTATCCCAAGCCTTCACCATCAGATATATAAACTTGCACGCCTCCTTCTCCTGTCAAGAATATTTACTCGGGTCTAAGTTCTTAGTGCCTGTGCACACTGGCTCTCCCCACTTTGATGGAGTTGGGGAGGGATCCTCTCTCTTCGGAGCAGCTGTAGATGAAGATGGCTTGTCCTTATGTCTATGAGAGTACCCTTTGCTTATGTGAAGCCTTCTCCTTAGGCTTAACCCTTTAGCTTTTGTCCATAAGCTCATGCTCAAAGGGGTGCTGCCCACTTGATGAGCATGACGAACAGAGTGTGGTCCCTGGCCCACATCTCCTTCTCCATGAGATCTTTTCTGAGTCTCAGTTCCAGACCCTCATGAGTTCTGGGGCAAAGAGAGCGGCAGATGCTGCACTTGGCAGAACTGCAAGCGGTGAGGCAGTGTAGATATTCATCGCTCGCCGAAAAGGAAGGCAGGAAACAGTTTTTGAACTCCGCGGCTGTGGGCATAATGCCCGACTTCTTGAGGGGGAAAAAGTCCCAGGGAAGGAAGAAAATGGGGAAAAATACATCTAACTACACTATGTAGACTATAGTATAAAGACTACTAAAATAACTATATACAATATCTTACAGCAATGACACGGTAACAAAAAAAGGAACTGAGGATACTGAAGATTCTAACTCAGAACCATCAGGTGGTAAGAAGGAACCGGAGAAGCGTCGGCTTGCCCCACATTTTATGCCCTTGGCTTGGAGCAGGAGGAGAGAAACGGCACACATGCAGGCGAACAGATACAGCTTGCAAAAAATTCCAGACTCAAGCACAAAGTGTGCATGCGTATCAGGACCATCACTCAAAGAAAAACGTGGGAGTTATATGGTTATACCATTGATCATATAAGAACTGTTATTTCATAAAGTATGAGTGTCTTTTGGGATTTAAGGTGTTCAGAACTGACTATTCAGTTGGATAGTGGAACAAAAATTGCTGCAAACATTTTCTGCTTAATGTGAAATAAACTGAAGAAAGATACAGAAGCTTCCACCATCAGTACCAGAACTTGTGACAGAGGAATGACTCAAAGAATCACTTGAGAATGACTATTATGATCTTGTGCATGACTTCTAATAAGTCAAATGGATGAACTGTATTTTAAATTTTGTTATGTTGGGATGACATTACATTTACGGGGGTGGGGGAGGGGAGGGAAAAGAAGGGTGAGTACAGCTTTCATAAGGGAATGTCTAGGTTAGATTTACCTGTGCCCTGTCCCATTAAGGATTGAAGGTCAGCTGCTCAAGGGGTCAAAGGGAATAGCTCTGGTTGCAGCAGCTCTAAAAGGACAGCAATGGGGTGTATGCAAGCAGGTTTTGTTTGTTTTTTTATATACCAAGTTTAATGAAACTTCAGTTTTAAAACTGTCTCTCGTCTTGGAGTATAACATTGGCAGATTTTGGGATGTGGTACAGTGTGGCAGCTAGTTATCATCAAGATTTTCTGTGATGGGAAACAAGGAATTCAACCCTCGTTTACATTGAAAATCCAGAGTCACCACCATCCCCCGCCCCGAAAGAGGAGAGACATCCCCTCTCCCCAATACCAAAAGTCTCAGGCACCCTAACCAAGTTTCCCTCATTTCTGCACACACATTGCAATTATGCTGCACACTGAAAGAGATGGTGAAGTGGGGGGAGCTGCATCAAATAAAATAAGTTTAAATATAAAAAATAAATTAAACAACAACACTGCATTGATTCTACTGGACATGGGGGCAGCAAAGAGGAAAAAGCTTGTGGTGGCAATGCTGAAATATTCTGGACTCCCTGCTGCAAAATTAGAGTCTAATGTGTTTCAAAAGACACAGGCATTAGCTATGGTTTAACAAAAGTTATACAAGCTTGATGATGAATGATAATTAAGGCTGCGAGTCTGTCACAGAGGTCACGGATTCCGTGACTTTACGGGACCTCCATGATTTCTGCAGTGGCCGGTATGGCTGACCCGAGGGCCGACTGAGCAGCTCGGGAAGCCCCTGCGCCAGTCGCACTGGCCACTGCCCCCCTGCAGCAGCAGGAGTTTAGATGTGGGAGGGGGCTCAGGGCAGGGGAGTAGGAGGGGGTGAGGGCTCTGGGCGGCACTCACCTTGTGGGGGGGGCTCCCAAAAAGTGGTGACATCCCTCAGCTCTTAGGCAGAGGCGCAGCCAGACAGCTCTGCACACTACCTCCACCTGCAGGGGCCACCCCTGCAGCTCCCATTGGAGCTCGGCCAATGGGAGCTGCGAACCCAATGCTATGGATGGAGGCAGCATGCAGAGCTGCCTGGCCACGTGCAGAGCTTCCTAGCCACGCCTCTGCTAGGAGCTGAGGGAGAGGGATGTCGTCGCTTCCGGGGAGCTGCAGAGCCAGGTAGGGAGCATGCCAGCCCCTCCAACGCTCCCCACCCCAGCACGAGCGGGGGTCCCGGGACACTCCCCGCTACCCCCAGCACCAGCGATGCCCCCTGACTCCCCGCCCAGCACCTGCAGCGTCCCCCAGGCCACCTCCCAAGATTTAGTCAGGGGTATATAGTACAAGTCATGGACAGGTCACAGGCCATGAATTTTTGTTTACTGCCCATGACCTGTCCATGACTTTTATTAAAAATACCCATGATTAAAACATAGCCTTAATGATAACAGACAGTAGGGCATGTCCTTTATCTGGACTTCCTCAAACCCCATACCAACACTGCAGGCCACCATCTCTGTATTTCACTTAACTCATCCCCAACCTTCTCCCTCAGAAAGGTACTCTAACAATTGACAACAAACTTAAAGAGGAAAAAAAAAGGGGGGGGGGTCAGCCCGGTAAGCTTCTCCAGTAGTACAATGCACAACTCCCATGAGGTGCCTAATTGCCAGGGCCCAAACAGCATGAGTCTCAGAAGGTAGCCCTTAAACCATTAGCGCCAAAGTATCTTTCACATGATAGTGCTGCACAAGAGCAACATTGTTTTGAAGAATTCGGCTAAATGGAAAACTAAGATGTGAAAAGAGCCCCAGCTCCTCCATCTCCGCTGATGCTCCCACTACACAAGATGGCCTACCTATTTATTTGCACCATTAGATTAATTTCCAAATCAAATCAAAATGTACAACACATATCAGATCATTAACTATCCCCATTACATTTATATAAAGTGGTCCTTACAAGATTAAAAACTGTTAAGATATAAATGCTGGAGCTCCTTACCTGCTGGAGCCCTTCTCTAGAAGGGATAGATGTTCTCACAATATCATTGATGGCCCACCATTGGTCAGCAAGATACAAGGCTACAGCTTGAAAGGAAAAAGATGGATATAAAAAGTTAGTGGTCTTGACATTTTGAAACCTAAGATATTCACTAAAAAAAAAAAAAAAAAAAAAATATATGGAGATGTACACCTATCTCCTAGAACTGGAAGAGACCTTGAAAGGTCATCGAGTCCAGCCCCCTGCCTTCACTAGCAGGACCAATTTTTTGCCCCAGATCCCTAAATGACCCCCTCAAGGATTGAACTCACAACCCTGGGTTTAGCAGGCCAATGCTCAAACCACTGAGCTATCCCTCCCCCCAAGTTATTAACTAAAGTTATTAAAGTTATAATAGACATCTTTTAAGCTGTAGTAAGAAGCACATTAATGCATTTATTATTTTCTTTAGTGCAAACAATGTGCTCAGTGCTGTACAGCCACAAAATGAAGACACTCCCTGCTCTGAAGAGATGATGATTTAAAAGGACAGTAAGCAAAGAAACTGGATATGCTCGGGACCCAGAGGAGTTAATAACAGAGTTATTTTTTTTAAATTTTTGGTTCAATTGTGGGCATCACAGAAAAAGTGAATCTCAACAAGGGAGATGAATGTGGAGAGGGTGGTAGGATGGTGATCAGCATGAGGTAGCATTCTGTACTTTGGGTGGCATGGGCAAATTCAGAGACAGAATTGGGAGAAGGAGACAAGCATAGCATTGAGACTGGCACAGTGGAGGACTGGAAGGTAAATGCAATACGGGATGTCAGCTGCAGCTGAGCAACGACAATGAGTCTGAACTTGATGTGGTAGACTAAAAGGGGCTTGAAGTGGTAGGCAGATCAGTGGAGGGACTCAATTAATGCTTGACAGAAGAGGAAGATAAATTTAGTAGCCTCATTTTGGATGGACTGGGGAGGATGGCTGGGTATCAAAGAAGCCAGAGAGGAGAAAATTCAAGAGAAAGTACATGGTGCATTTAATTATTATGCACATTAAATCAGGAAGGCACTGTCTTTCATTTTGTTACACATCTTCCAAATTTAATCTAGCTGGTTCCGCTCCAATTGGTACAGTAATTTCACACTTATTGAGATGTGGATAAGAATCTACAACAGAAATTAACAATAATATGAAAATGGAGGTAATGGACACTGCATTCAAGCTGAAAAAGGTAATTAGTTATTGCAAGGTAGCATGGAATGAGTAAAGGATTGGTTACATGTATTTGCCACAAAAAGCAAAATGCTACAACATTTAGATTAGAATTTTAAAATGAAACCTGTGAGCGAGTCCTCAGGTGCAAATAAAGCAAGAACTTTGTGTGTCTGATCTCCACCGTAAAGAGGAACGAAGCCTATAGTTGACAAGCTAATAGGAATCTGAAAAAAGAGTTTAGAATGGTTCAATGGACTCTTGCTAATATAGCATTAGTCAAATATATAGAGCATGCTAAAGAGGACAAGCAAACCTAGTTTTCAAACTTGGATGCTTAAAGGTGACCTGCAAACCCAAAAAAACACCCCCACCACTGGAGTTTGGCCCTGTTTTGCCTCTTTATAATACAGATCTTTATAAAAATGACCTCCAAGGTGCATGCATGTTGGAGGGAGGAGGTTTAAAAAGTTTTTCCTCTGTTAAAACAAAACCAAAAACAATCAAAGGAATTCACATTTTGTCTATCCTATTTTTCCTGGATGATTCTATAAATGACTGAAGAACTATTAGGTTTACGACATCAGATAGACTGGGCCATTTCCTCAATTTTAATAGGCCAGCCTTAAATTTGGCCTCAGGGTACATGTACATTGCAAAATTCAACTAACCCGCAGCAGCGAGTCTTAGAGCCCGGGTCTACAGACTTGGGCTCACACTATGGCGCTAAAAACAGCAGTGTAGATGTTGCCGCTCAGGCTGGATATTAGGCTCTGAAACCTGGGGGAAGTGGGTGACTTTCAGAGCCCGAGCAGCAACATCTACACTGCTGTTTTTAGCACCGTAGCACGAGCTCTGTGAGCCTGAGTCTGTAGACCCGGGCCCTGAGACTCTCTGCCACCCAATATAAATATATATATTTTTTATTTTATTTTATTTTGCAGCACAGACATACCCTAAGTGACCAGCTGGAGATTCAACTGGTTAACACCCTTCATAGCTTCTGGTCACGAGCATGATGGGGTGATCTCTGGCTGTACAACTTGTGCCAGGGAACAGTGGAATGCAAAGTTGGCATATAGCCCTATGTCCCTCTCTTCTCCCTACCATTAGGCCCTGCACTGAACAAAGCTCAGCCTAACATTATGAGCTGATCCCAAGGAAGTGAATCTCTACTGAGAGGGGAAGACAGTTTTATTTCTGTTCATATCTATTCGACTCAAAAGCTATATGAACAACTGGAAGACAAGCTGTCTTTATTAAAGAGTCAACATCTCGTCCTCAATTAAGGGCTAAAAAAAGCCTCAAATACATTTTGTAGACTCTTCTAACAAAGACTTCCAGGAAACAGGAAAGAAAAAACTTGATATGCCTGATACACAAACCCAAATTGTCTTCCCTTGCAGGCCAGGTCACCTTTAAAACAAGTGAACATTTCCCACGTTTTGGTGCTAAAATAGGCACTTCAGCGTCCAAATGCTCAATTGAGCACCAAAATGCGGCATTAAGGCACCAACATATGGAAACTGGAACCACTTAGTTTTAGAACGTTCAATATCTTCATCAAAATGATTTTGAAGTTATTTAAATTCAAGTATTTCTAATATTTAATGAAGATATTTGAGAAAATAAATATGTATATATTAGCACTGATTGTGTGATGAACAAATGACTAGACATTCAGACTATGAGAAAGATTTGCTTCCTTATAAAACAGTTCAAAGCTTACGGTATGCTATGGCTCAGAATTTTTATTTTTACGCACACAGCACTTACATGATTAGAGAAAAGTGCCTAAAAGTCTGCTCCTGGAAAGGGATCTGCAAGTGAGAACCCCTATTCTTGCTTAGAGTCCCACTGGCCTCACTTACTCTAGACTCTTTAGTTAAAATTTCACACCACTGTTACCATAGATACTAGCAAGTGGGAGTGCCAGCATAGGCAGACCCGATTTTGACCACTACATCACAAAGACAGGCTAAGTGATAAGGTGGATCAGATCATAAAATTCCAGCATCCGGTCTCTATTAGTGCCTCCACCAGTACTGCTGCTGTGACGGCAAAAGGGAAAGTTTTAGAACAAATGGTCCAATATAGACACCATTTTGGATGTCAGTGGGACTGCCTATGGGATTAAAGGTCCACCCAAGCAGATCACTTTGCAAAACTGAGGCATAAATGACCAATTAGATGCAGTAACTGCTAGCATAACTTATGCATGTACATTTCTGTGATTAATTCTAGCAAAGAGAGTTTGCCTGACTCACTAGTTATGATTTAAAATGAAAGAGAATTGTTCAATATACATAGATTCATCATCCAACAATCTGAGTGGCTGACACAAAGATCCCACTTGGTATAAAACAAATGTGTTGTTTGGTGTTCCAAAGTACAATACAAATACAGTTTAAAAAGGATAGGAACATATAGAAAATATAATACTTATTTAAATACTCATTTTAACACAGTAGACACAGACTTGATTTATCTGCATTTTTACTCTACGTTCAATTGCAAATAATCAAGAAATAAATCGGTTCAGATTTTTCTCTCTCTTACTTTGATGTTGCTGACAAGAGACAAAAACTCTGGATTCTCTGGATCCCCACATCGAAGATCAGACATGTAGTCTTCTGCAGAACTCTCCAAGTCTTCATGACTGTAATTATCCAACATGTCCACAGGGAATGCCATCCTCCTGAAAAACTGAACATGCATATATTATTGTAGAGATACCACACAGTATATGCCTGAAGTTATCTTGTCCTACTAAACATAACATTACAATTAATTTATTAACTAGCACCTCTTCTTCTCTACAGGGAAGCTGTTCAATTTTATTGGCAGCAAGGAGCATGAATCACAGCCTCATGTCAATTTGTCACAACCACCCCAAACATTGGCTTTATTTTTTATTTCCAAATGTTATTTGGGCAGAATAAAGTGATGTGTGTTCCAGCGCAATTTGGTTAATTTAATACATGCTTTCTTTCTTTTTCTATACAATGTTTACTGAGTTGCTGTTGCGTAAAGTACAATGGATGCATATAGAGCCAAATCTTTCATCACTTCACCTAACCAGAGTAAAATAGTTGTACAGGGGGTGCTGCATGGATGTTGGTGAGAACAGAATCTTCTCCACACACCTGTCCATTGCTTCAGCCTCCCACAACATGGCCTATGTATCCTACCTATGCACCGGGGAAGCAGGGAGAAGGGGATTGGCCAATGGATCCCTGTAGACATCTGTCCATGTTCTAAAGGACATGCACAGATATTGGGGGGCTTCCTTGTCTGTTTTCACCCCGCTGTTTCACTGACTGCACCAATATCTCTTTGACAGTAACTCATCTTTGGTGCACTCAACTTCACTTCCTAGGGGTCTGTGTGTTTTCTTTTGAAGTACTCTTCCTGAAATTGCCATTGCCCGCACCAGGGGTCGGCAACCTTTCAGAAGTGGTGTGCCGAGTCTTCATTTATTCACTCTAGTTTAAGGTTTCCCGTGCCAGTAATACATTTTAACGTTTTTTAGAAGGTCTCTTTCTATAAGTCTATAATATATAACTAAACTACTGTTGTATGTAAAGTAAATAAGGTTTTTAAAATGTTTAAGAAGCTTCATTTAAAATTAAATTAAAATCCATCCTAGAATACTCAAGGAGCTAATAGAGGAGGTATCTGAGCCTCTAGTTATCATCTTTGGAAAATCATGGGAGACAAGAGAGATTCCAGAAGACTGGAAAAGGGCAAATATAGTCCCCATCTATAACAAGGGAAATAAAAACAACCCAGGAAACTACAGACCAGTTAGTTTAACTTCTGTGCCAGAGAAAATAATGGAGCAAGTGGTTAAGGAAATCATATTCAAACACTTGGAAGGTGATAAGGTGATAGGGAATAGCCAGCATGGATTTGTAAAGAACAAATCGTTTCAAACCAATCTGATAGCTTTCTTTGATAGGATAACGAGTCTTGTGGATAAGGGAGAAGTGGTGGATGTGGTATACCTAGACTTTAGTAAGGCATTTGATACGGTCTCGCATGATATTCTTATTGATAAACTAGGCAAATACAATTTAGATGCGGCTACTATAAGGTGGGTGCATAACTGGCTGGATAACCGTACTCAGAGAGTTGTTATTAATGGTTCCCAATCCTGCTGGAAAGGCATAACAAGTGGGGTTCCGCAGGGGTCTGTTTTGGGACCGGCTCTGTTCAATATCTTCATTAACGACTTAGATATTGGCATAGAAAGTACACTTATTAAGTTTGCAGATGATACCAAACTGGGAGGAATTGCAACTGCTTTGGAGGACAGGGTCATAATTCAAAATGATCTGGACAATTGGAGAAATGGTCTGAGATAAGCAGGATGAAGTTTAACAAAGACAAATGCAAAGTGCTCCACATAGGAAGGAAAAATCAGTTTCACACATACAGAATGGGAAAAGACTGTCTAGGAAGGAGTACGGCAGAAAGGGATCTAAGGGTTATAGTGGACCACAAGCTAAATATGAGTCAATAGTGTGATGCTGTTGCAAAAAAAGCAAACATGATTCTGGGATGCATTAACAGGTGTGTTGTGAGCAAGACACGAGAAGTCATTCTTCCGCTCTACTCTGCGCTGGTTAGGCCTCAACTGGAGTATTGTGTCCAGTTCTGGGCACCGCATTTCAAGAAAGATGTGGAGAAATTGGAGAGGGTCCAGAGAAGAGCAACAAGAATGATTAAAGGTCTTGAGAACATGACCTATGAAGGAAGGCTGAAAGAACTGGGTTTGTTTAGTTTGGAAAAGAGAAGACTGAGAGGGGACATGATAGCAGTTTTCAGGTATCTAAAAGGGTGTCATAAGGAGGAGGGAGAAAACTTGTTCACCTTAGCCTCTAAGGATAGAACAAGAAGCAATGGGCTTAAACTGCAGCAAGGGAGGTTTAGGTTGGACATTAGGAAAAAGTTCCTAACTGTCAGGGTGGTTAAACACTGGAATAAATTGCCTAGGGAGGTTGTGGAATCTCCATCTCTGGAGATCTTTAAGAGTAGGTTAGATAAATGTTCATCAGGGATGGTCTAGACAGTATTTGGTCCTGCCATGAGGGTAGGGGACTGGACTCAATGACTTATCGAGGTCCCTTCCAGTCCTAGAATCTACGAATCTATGCAGAGCCCCTCGGATCCGTGGCCAGGATCCGGGAAGCGTGAGTGCCACTGAAAATCAGCTTGCGTGCCGCCTTTGGCGCAGGTGCCATAGGTTGAATACCCCTGACCTGCACTCTTCTGCTAGTCCCTCAACTATGGTGAATCAACACTATAGGCAGCAGCATGCCTCCTTGCCAATTGTCAATGGGAAGCCCTGCATTTAGAGGGGCTGGCTCTCCAAACAGACAGCAACAGCACCCACAGTAAGAATTTTTTAAATATCAGTGATGGGAGTCAGAGAGAAAAGGGAAGAAAAAAGAAAAGAAAAGGGAGAGAGAGAGAGCCCCTTCTCACTCTTCAACACTCCCTCCGCTAGCCCAAGAGCACTCACCAAGGATCTCCAAGGTTCTTCCCAAGAACTCATGGCAAGAACAGGGGATAGACCGAAGAATTGCACCATCACCAGGAAAAGGCAGGTCTACATGATTGGGGACTCCTTACTGAGAAGAATAGACACGCCAGTAACCAGAGCTGATCCAGAGAACAGAAGCGTGTGCTGTCTGCCGGGTGCTAAGATATGGGATGTGGACCTGAGGCTGAAGAGAATCCTAACGGGAGTGGGAAAGAATCCACTGATTGTCCTTCATGTGGGAACAAATGATACAGCTAGCTTCTTGCTGGAACGTATCAAGGGAGACTATGCCAGGCTGGGGAAGACGCTTAAGGAAATCGAGGCTCAGGTGATCTTCAGTGGGATTCTGCCTGTTCCTAGAGAAGGGCAACAAAGGTGTGACAAGATTATGATGATCAACAGATGGCTCAGGAAGCGGTGCTATAAGGAGGGCTTTGGGATGTATGGCCACTGGGAGGCATTCATGGACAGAGGACTGTTCTCTCGGGATGGACTTCACCTGTGTAGGGAGGGAAATAGACTTCTAGGATGGAGGCTGGCACAACTGATGAAGAGAGCTTTAAACTAGGAATTGGGGGGAGATGGTTGGGAGATGTCCAGGTAATCTCCACGCCGGATTTTAACACTGAGAGGGAAGAAAATGAAGTAAGAAAGGATACAGCCATGGGTAGGAGAATGGTCATAAGGAGGAAGGGTAGCGTAGATACCAGTCAAATAGGTGATACTGGCGGTAGAATGTCTGTGTCTAATCGGATAAAGAATGTGAGCGAAGCCAAACAGCAAAAATTAAGATGTTTGTACACCAATGCAAGGAGCCTAGGTAACAAAATGGAGGAACTAGAGCTACTGGTACAGGAAGTGAAACCAGATATTACAGGGATAACAGAAATATGGTGGAATAGTAGTCATGACTGGAGTACAGGTATTGAAGGGTATGTGCTGTTTAGGAAAGAGAGAAATAAAGGCAAAGGTGGTGGAGTAGCATTGTATATCAATGATGAGGTAGACTGTAAAGAAATAAGAAGTGATGGAATGGATAAGACAGAGTCTGTCTGGGCAAAAATCACATTGGGGAAGAAAGCTACTAGAGCCTCCCCTGGGATAGTGCTTGGAGTATGCTATAGACCACCAGGATCTGATTTGGATATGGATAGAGACCTCTTTAATGTTTTTTAATGAAGTAAATACTAATGGGAATTGTGTGATCATGGGAGACTTTAACTTCCCAGATATTGACTGGAGGACAAGTGCTAGTAATAATAGGGCTCAGATTTTCCTGGGTGAGATAGCTGATGGATTCCTTCACCAAGTAGTTGCTGAACCAACAAGAGGGGATGCCATTTTAGATTTGGTTTTAGTGAGTAGTGAGGACCTCATAGAAGAAATGGTTGTAGGGGACAACCTTGGTTCGAGCGATCATGAGCTAATTCAGTTCAAACTAAATGGAAGGATAAACAAAAATAGATATGTGACTAGGGTTTTTGATTTCAAAAGGGCTAACTTTAAAAAATTAAGGAAACTAGTTAGGGAAGTGGATTGGACTGAAGAACTTGTGGATCTAAAGGGGGAGGAGGCCTCAAATTACACCTCTACCCCGATATAACGCTGTCCTCGGGAGCCAAAAAATCTTACCTCGTTATGTCGAACTTGCTTTGATCCGCTGGAGTGCGCAGCCCAGCCTCCCGGAGCACTGCTTTACCGCGTTATATCCAAATTCGTGTTATATCGGGTCGCATTATATCGCGGTAGAGGTGTACTTCAAATCAAAGTTGCAGAAACTATCAGAAGCCTGCATCCCAAGAAAGGGGAAAAAATTCATAGACAAGAGTTGTAGACCAAGCTGGATGAGCAGGCATCTCAGAGATTAAGGCAGAAAGCCTACAAGGAGTGGAAGATGGTAGGGACCAGCAAGGAAAGCTACCTTACTGAGGACAGAACATGTAGGGATAAAGTGAGAAAGGCCAAAAGCCATGTAGAATTGGACCTTGCAAAGGGAATTAAAAACAATAGTAAAAGGTTCTATAGCCATATAAATAAGAAGAAAACAAAGAAAGAAGTGGGACCACTAAACACTGAGGATGGAGTGGAGGTTAAGGATAATCTAGGCATGGTCCAATATCTAAACAAATACTTTGCCTCAGTCTTTAATG